CACTCAGAACCACCATCTATTTTAGCATTTTCAGTCCCTTCAACATGTTAGGATGCTTAATTACAGACTAAAATGAGTGCAGAATTGAAATGTTACTTATTTGGGTTTTAATCAGAGCTAATTGTAGACAGATTGAAACTACCTTACTGTTAGAATTTGAATTCTATAATTGAAAGTTCTCTACCTCGATTTAATGCTAAATGCAATTTCTGTCGAACAAAATGTGGGCCTCGTTTTCCCTTTAAAATTTTTGAAGAAGATGCTTGAAATTTGACAGTATAAGCAATTACTAATGTGAAAATTCGTTCAAAAAATATATTTTTAGATACTAGTCAGGCAATTCTTGATACCCAGTAAAATCGATTTCGGATATAATTATCTTTAGTAATTTAGCAGATATCGGATTCTTAAAACAATTATTAGGTTAGTCAAATCTCAATTTAAAACACAAGGTTCTAAATTAATGAAAAAATGCATAAAAATAATGAATAGTTGATATTGTGGAGTGATAACCATTCAACAAAAGGATAATATTCGTGGTTTCCATACCATAGTGAACCTCTAGTCTTGAGTTTAGCATGACAGCCTGGTAGCATAAATTTAATCGCATATACCCAAAATGAACCATCACCCATTCTGCTCTGGAAAAACTGCTGTTCGAATTTCATATATGTGCCAATAATTTGGTACTTTGCAAAACGTTTTGACTTCTGATGATCCCTCAGTAGTACAGTACTTTGGTAGAATTTTGTTTTAAATTAAGTATTAAATAAGGGCACATCAATATTGAAAGTTCATATTTTAGCAACCCTTTAAACCCCTAAACATTAGTTACGAGTACCAAAGAGCATACATTTGCTTATCCGGAAGTATTAAAATGATGAGTTTGTTAATATTATATATTTTGGGGCCAAAAAGTGCCTTCTAGGATAGTTTTGCTCTATTTACGACCTTGGAAATATTGTGCTGAAAGGCAATTTAAAATAATGCCAAAATTGTTGACTACAACGAATTACTGCAAATTCATAGTGGAAGAGTGGTAGGTAGAGGATGGATTCTTAAACAAGTTGTAGGCGCGCGCACATACACGTCCTTCCAAAATGCCATCTTTGCTGCCATTTGGCAATTAAAACACGGAAAGGTGAGGGAAATGCCAAAGTCTTTCGTCCGCTCCTTTCCACTTCTGCCTTATCCTCCATCATCTCCTCCTCCTCCTCCACTTCCTCCACCACTTTACAGTTGGTGCTACTTTAATGGTTCCTTTTATGCACCCATCGATGCGCTAGCAATAATGACCAATTTTATGTTATGCTTAAATAAAAAATTTCAATATTTAATTGTAAAGGCCACAGTTAAGTCTCACTTCCCCCTTTTCGTGAGTTTTCTTCAAGTCGGTATTTCCAAAAAAACGCGGTTCCGTTTTTACTAAGTAGTGCGCCGTTTAATGAATGCTGTTTTATACATCCAACATTTAAACAAGTTGATTAAAAAGTAACGCACGAGCTTATTAATTGGTGGACAATTTAAGTGCCTTTTAAATAGTGAATATTGGTGTTATTCAAATAGAATTTTCTTCACGTAAAGCTGAAGAAAACAACTTGAGTCGAAGGAGTGTTGTTTAAAATATTGTTTTTTGTTATTTATCAATTTACAGTGAAAAAATCTTTTTTCATTTGACCGCTTACTTAGCTTATTGCTTTAATGGGTCAAGGCCATGTGAAGTATTTACAAATTGGCTAAATATGAGAAATGTCTGGCCGATAATAATTCCGAATTCGTCCAATAAAAGGTGACTGATTGGAGAAGTTAGTGAAATGGTAGCTTCTCATGGGCGCAAGGTCGCAATCGAAATTGTTTTGTCAGGCCAAAAAGTTCCTTAGCTCGTTGGTGCTTTGATTTTGTATGGGTAGCCTTTCAGTTTCCCAACGCCACTTGTGACCCAAAACAATGTTTAATTGGTAGAATGGATCTATTAACTTTTAATATCGCCTTCAAGACGAAGGCCTCACAGTTGGATGTTGAACGTCGTATTTCGCAAAGGAATCGTCTGAACTATCGTTTATTATGTTATCAAGAAGCCTAATCGTGCGTTGTTAAGGTTTCAACAAAACAGTAACCAATAGGGAAATTGGGTGTAAAGTGTTTTAAGGCTTTATTTTATTATCTCCACTATTGAAGAAGCCTCGCTGTTCCAGCTAAAGATGATATGAATTTTTGCAATATGCATCCTTAATTGTTGGGGATTCCAAGTGGACTATTGGCGTTTCCGAATCAAAGCTTGATAGCTCATTTGCCGAGTCTAGTCACTAATCAGTAGAAGATGGGAGGTTCTGTCGCTGCAGTCGTCATCCTTTGCTTGATAAGTGGATAATTTTTCACAATTTTCCGCACTCTCTTGGTCTACGCGAGGCTATGTCATTTGGCAAATAGGGCTAGACTTATATGTGCATTGATGTGTCTTTCCCAGTGCAAGTTGCCATTTTAGCAAAAAAGTGGCTGGGAGAGGTGTCCTAATTCTTCCTCTCTCTTTGTTGACTTTAACTCGTCCACCAACCCAGTTAGGGGGCATACACTTAAGGTCAGTTTTGTGAAGGAGGAAAATTGTTAAGATTACACTATGCGCTTCGGACATAATGACAGAAATGCTGCAAATGTAATAGCAAGAACTATTGGCGCTCTTCACAAATACTATTCGTACTGATCGAGTTAGTGAATGACTGAGTGCATTGTTTACTTTTATGGTGAGGGTTAAAGACATTTTAGAAATTTTAATTTTCAAACAGACCTTTCACTACTTCGGATATATGGCAAATCGAGGAACACAAAACGAATGTTCCATTCACTCAATTTCGAATTTAACAATTTAGATTAACTATTTAAATTGTCAAATCTGGGAGCGTTTGAAAAACGCTTCTTGTCCCGAAAATAATGATTGTTATAGTTTTTTTAATTTATACGGGAGAATAAACAATTCTCCTTTAATTGAATGAAGTTGCATTGAAAGATAATGACTTATCGATTTATTATGAGTATCAGCATTGAAACCTTTAAATTGACTCTAGTTAAGTATCATATGCTGTAGCAGCCAGAGTTAAAAATTTTGAATAAGCACACGATTTACTCTATAATTATTGATTACTAGAAATTCTTACTACTAAGGTTATAACTCTAGCAAATGGAGAGTTTTAAAGAAATATTAGGGAAAATGCTTTGTCATTTTTTCTTTTCAAATATTTGCATTGCTTATTTTAAGATAATATATATGTTATTTCCAAATCCTTTTCTTTATCAAACTAGTATTGTTAGGAAAACTGGTATTAGATCTTAGTGATGTTGGCTATTGCAAATACGGATTAATATTTTTAAAAGTCTGTTAACTTAAAAGTTTACACCCTGGAAATCGGTTTGAGATTAAGTAGAATTCGACTAACAAGGTTAGATTTTGTTACCTCTTAGGAAGATAAAGTTTTTTAAAGGAGATCGAAATGAGAAATAATTGTTTTTAGTGGATTCTGAACTGACGATATTTTGACAGTTTTATAACAAAAACATCCCTCTTTTCTAACATTTTTAAGCCCAATTTACAGATCTTTTAAATGCTTCATCTCATCTCTAATACGCCTTAACCACATTTCCTCAGCCATCTAGTTACCATGTCGCAAATACACACAGGCAAATAGAATTAGAATCCATCAGCATCATATTTTCTAGAATTCATTTCGGCATATGCCAACAAGGAATTTGACTCTCATGCCTATATATACTCACCGAGCTCATCTTGCCTCATTGTTGACCCACACAAATTAGCGATGACATACAAACAAGAGCAAAAACAGAAAACAAGTGCACACCCCAGGCAGGAATGTACCGGGTTCACAATGCCAGGCATATGCGAATAAGCTTATTTGCGCGAGGGTGCTTTCATATGTCAGTCATTGTTGCGTGCTAGTTATTAAAGCATCACGTTCTCTCTATCATTGTACACTCTATGAATTCGACGCACGCGAGGTCAAGAAAGATGTGCGTTGGATTGACTTGTTCAAATAATCCTGTCTGACTTCTACCTTGAAGGAGTTGTAAACATCTTGCTTTAGCGAGATTGTGTCTGCCTGAGTATCTCAGATATGAAAATTGGGTCAAGGTAGATCAATTTCTCATATGATACAGAAAAAAGTAACAATTTTGTGGTTGGTTCTTGAATTTCTTGTGAAAAGTTCTATTGAAAAAGGCATCTCAAATTAACGTATGCCTAATGAAACCTACATCAAAATCGAATTTTAATTTTGCTTATATGCGCGATCTTCTTAACTCTTCTCCAAAAATAAATCATGCGACGTTTCTTCATGCATCTTACAGTCTTAAAGAGAGACAGAAAATACAAAAAAATTCTTGCTGAAAAAAGATCCTAGTACTTCGCTGGCGTAGTAGTCAAAGTGCAACTCCTGAAATCACAAATTTGACACTCCTGCAGAAGACCGGCAGGTCTGTTTGAAAATGTTAATTGAGTGCTTGATCTAAGTTTCTTATATCAGATGTGATAGTGATATCATTACTTCACCCATGTTATGAAATTTAATTAGTGGGAATTCGTAGCTTACTCTTCAGCATTCATTGGTTCGGTTCTCATTAGTACATACTCAGTGTACTAAAAAGGACAATGGCTTCGATGGAGTCAGTCTAATAAAGGAAGTGGCAAAATTCAATTTTCTCAAAGAGAAAACTTTTTTTCAAAATGAATTTGTGGTTTAAAAGTATTTTAAGAATTAAAAGCTATCCTATGCTTTTTGGCGCAAATGTCATAATTATTATAAAGGGGTTCCAATGTCAGATGTTCATCGATTTTATAATGTGATTGCCAATTTCGTGAACTTTAGAATATAGACATTGTGAGGCACTGAGCGTTAATGTATATATTGATTGAATTAGCTATTTATCAACAGATAAACGATTGAGATATATAAATTGGAAAATAACTTTACTGGTAAAGGAGCCAATTAAAAATGATAGAACTCAGACTACTGTCGGTTATCTGTGAGACCTTAATTATTCCTTCCAATGAGCTGGAAAAATATCCATTAGGTATGTGCAGTCCAAAAATGTCATTTAATTTTCTTTATTAGCTTGTCAAAGTTATTTTTAAAATGGTATGATAGAATAATTCAATAAAATTTCTCATCTGTTCACTATAAACAATCTAATTAAGTAAAATTCTACTAAATATTTGTCTGAAGTGCTAGCACAGCCTAAATCTATGTCATATAATTATCGATTACTGGAGTATTGTGGGGTAGATGCAAAAATCAATAAGTTTTACTTTCCACTCATTTGAATCTTCCATGAGAAAATACGGTACCAAACTTTTTTAATAATGAAAGTAATAATAATAATAATTAGTATTAATATTAATAACGCGGCGGTGCTCGTTAGAAGACTTTATATTTCTTGATTGAACTACTCTAGCGCTCTATTTACGAGAAAGAGATAGTGAGAGTAATATCGCAATTAATTCGACTATTTGTTTTTTTTAAAAAACAGTAAATGTTTGAGGGTTTTTTAATTTTTTTTATTTTTTCCCTATCGAAGGGGTTTTCAAAATTCTCTATTCGACAATCATTTTCAATAATTCTCATCTAATAGGATAAAGTGAAACCTCTTAGCCACTTCTAATGAATACAAAATTCTTCATGTAAAATTGCGTCTTTTAAATTTGTGGGCTTACGTATAAGGTGAAGTTGATGATAACTCACCTGTTGACCTAGCAAGATGTGATTAACTTGTGCGTTAGTGGGTATGTTGTCATAAGCAAATATTGTCTGTTATACTTCTTGAAGAAACGAAATTGATCCAAGGTTCACGAGAATTGAAGGGAATGGCAAAAAGAAAATTTTAAAAGTTCAAATTGTTCAACATAGCACCCAATTCTTCTAATAGCAACAGTCAAACCTCCTTTTAAACCATCTCTTATTGCTCTTGATTGGGATTCATTATATGAAGGTTGCCAGAAATTCTGCACATTAGTGCATTCTCAGAAGCCATATTTATCAACTGAATTTAATGCAACAGAGGTGCATGTACATAGATTAGATGTAAATTGTAAAATTAAAGGCAATCAATCTTTTGATTTCTAGGTCGAAATGAGCTGATAGCTCGCTACATCCAGCAACGAACCGGAAAGGTGCGCACTCGAAAGCAAGTCTCCAGTCACATACAAGTCCTCGCGCGTCGAAAATCCAAAGAACTTCAGGCCAAAATTCGTGACCCTGAGATTAAAAAGGAGACTATAAACCAGTTGGCCAAACTCTCTTCAGCTCAAATAGTCTCTCGCGATGTGGCAAAAGGACTACATTCGGAACATCAAAGTGGACATCATGATGATCTCTCGCCTTCTTCCTCATCGGCGTCTCGTTCTGTTGCAGCAGCAGTCGCAGCTTTCCATGGGCAAAATCAGCCCTCACAGCATCAACTCTTCCATCATCAGCACGATCAATACATGACCTATCAACAGAGTCAATCTGTGAGAAAATCGTCATCTTCAGAAGGAGTTTCACAGAGAAAGATAATGCGACTTGCTCGTAAGTTTTGATCTGCTACTCAATAAAATTTTACTAGAAGTGGGTATTTTTTGCTGAGATAGGAGCCAAATTTTTAATCAGATTTAGTGAATTGATTCAAATCTAACGGAATCCTTCTGTTTACTTTAAAATATCTTCATCCCTTAATGGCATTTGTCAAACGGTTCAAATTTTAAGGTGCCTTGACTGTTCTATTTTGTGTTATAAACTGTCAAACAATCTCATTTCCTTTTCTTAAAACTTCCTAGAAGTTTATATTCATCCACTTCTGAGCACGATGCAAAATAAGGTTTTGGTGAAATGCGAGTTATTCTATACCTGTTTGCGCTACTTTACGCTTATACTGGCCTTCCAAGGAGACAATATGAGTGTCTTGAAACTTAAAACGTTTGGATGTAGTATTGCTCGATATCCAAATATCTCACATCTTGTAGCTTTTCTTCAGGTTAGTTCTTACTTTCACAGTTAATGACAGATTCCCACTTAAGATCTAAATTTGCCTGAATTTGCAAAACAACTTTTTTTTTACAAACCATCTCAAATAATTTTAATAGCAAAAGAACGCTTACCACGGGGCCGTTACGCTATTACCAACTTGTTTTTATAGACTTTAATAATATTTTTGTAGTTAAAGAAAAAAACTTACATTTTTATGTAAACAATGTTGGTAGCATTCTCCACCTATTGCATGTGTGTGTGTGGGGTTGCCTCAAATAAATTCTCCACTTGACCTTCGAATGACTTGAGTTTTCGAAATGTTAGTTCATGCATTTTTTGTTCATTTTCCCACGGCAACAATAAAAACGAAATAACAGAATTTATTTCTCGAGGGATAAAAATTACTTTGCGCTGACCTTTTAAATTCGGCAAATGCAGATACTTTAAGATATAGGTTCATTAGACGGTTGAATGAGGGACCATACAATGTAAAAACAAACTCGATATGAAAGTGCATATAAATTGATATATGTGTATATATTTGCCATTCGAATGTTGATTTATATTTAGACACATTTTAGCAATAGGAATTTGAAATGTGGATGATGAATTCCGCAAAGAAACGCGTCCGTTGACTTGTTGAATATCATCCACAACTGAAAGATGCACAGTCCAGAGAAACCGTGTGTCTTATCGACACCTTATAAATTAACGTGAGTGAGGAGGCCTTCACGATTCACTACCTTTAATTGTGGTCTGTCAAACATATGGACACCTTCGTCCAGGGTAAATAATGAATGGTTTCAAAATAGAATGAAACCTCTTTTAACAGGATTTTCCAGTTTATATTTAAAATGCAGTTAGTGCTGCAACTTAGGTAAATTAATTAATTTATTTCAGATGGCAGGCATTTTGTTAGTTATCATTAGCCCTTTAGCTGACTTCAGGCTTCACAGGACAGCTATCATTAGCCATTTAGCTGACTTCGGGCTTCACAGAAGGTAGGAGCATTAAAGTGCGAAGAAATGATAGGGAGGAAAGAAGAGCGATTCACCTATCATTAGCCCTTTAGCTGACTTCAGGCTTCACAGAGGAGGAGGGGGAACATCGAAGTGACAAAAAGTCGGGAGGGGGGGACAGAATAATGATTCATAGATGTAAAAGAGACAGACAGGCACAAAGGTTAAGTAAAAGGTAAGGCATATGACATACAGTGGGGTCATAGTAATTTGGAGTGAGAAGTCAACTGCCGGTTTATAGAATTTTTTTGCCGTATGAGTATACATTGCCCAGGATGTACCATGTGGAGGTAAGTCTATCACACACCCCTAGATAAATTAAGGATCTTTAGATAGCATGACCCAGCCCAACGATATCCTCTTCCTCGAACGTTTAAGGTAAATTCGTTTTCTTTGTGCAAATTTGTGCAAGGTTCTTTGCGGTGTCATGACGGTAAAAAATGAATTCGGTCACAATTATTTGGATAATCGTAGAGAAAGCTATCAAAAGCTCACTTAAGTTAAACAATTCTTTCTACCAAACGCACGAGCTAGTTTTGGATTAAATAATATTGTTTTGTGGTTTAGTCAATTACTTGAAAGGAGAGCTTTTACGCGAATAGCATTAAGCTTATTATCGAATAATTTAAAAGTACGGAAACGTATGCTGATAATCTTGTTAGCAATGATTTAAAAATCCCTAATACTGACTTTCTCGTACATGTGAAATTATACTATTTTCTTCCTTTAATAATTTCCATGGGAGACAAACGCTCAATTTTTTTCCCAAGAAGTTGTCCCTCTCACCATTTCCACAATCATATCACTTACTTTTAACGGTTTATCTTTTGGTATTCAGACAATTATGCGATTATTGGTTTTGTTTAATTAACAAGTCTCCATTTTATGAAAAAACTTAAAGACTCAAAGTTTTAAACTTCGATTAACCAATCTCTCGGTGCATTTGTAAAATATTTTAAATTGCTTTTGGAAGCACATTTGGTTTAGTTTGTTTTGTACCAGTCGGCTTGAAAGTCTGTGAAGTCGGTATTCTGAAAATTAGTACTCATTATTGCAGTTAAGGAGGCTTTAGACGGTGGACTACACAAAGCACGATTTCTTTTCATTAGAACGCCTCCATTTCCACTTTCCTGAAATCAGTTCAATTTTCACAAGCTTAGGAGATCTGGAATCTTGGTTTTCTATTTTATATTTCGCCCTCACATTTAAGTGGATATTCTAAATTGTCTTTTGAGCTATAGTAATGATGAACACTTAGAATGACATTTTAATTCAAACATTTTGAATGAATAAGGACACCAGGTAATTCATTCTCACTTAGACTCACCTAGCATTTTAGGTTATTTAAAATCTGAAATTTCGATTTATAGAAGTTTTGGAAGAGTATTGAATTGAACCGGATTGTTAGATTCACTTGAATGATATATTAATTTCATATATTATTGCATAGAAGCTGCAAATGGATTCTACAATGCGCATCTAAAACTGAATTAACTTATAATGTCAAATTTTCGTTTATATAATCCGTTTATTACTACATTGTTTTCTAACAATACAAGTATTTGATACTACTTGCCTTAAGTACTTCACAAAACAGATTTTAATTTCATCGTTTCATTAATTAAGTTAACCACAGATTGGAAGTTCTTTCACTTAAAACCGTCCCTTATTTTTGTATTTTAATTAATTTGGGAGCTTTACAGGATCATTTTCAAGAATGATATTTTCTCGCAAAAAAAAACAATTTTATAAACTTCTTTTAAGCCACTAGGCTAAACAACTAAAGCGCGTCCATCTTATTGAATGCTCAATGTAAGGCCATCACACTTTTATTAATACCCAAATGCTTCAAATTAAATCTCTAACTCTAAATTTAAAAACCAAAATCCAATCGGAAACAATTGCTTACTATTCTTCCCAAGTAAATGCAGAAGAAATGAAATAGCTTTACGATTTGCTGTAATGTGATAGACGTTAGTTATTCAATTTAGGAATGACATGCAGAGAAGCGAACTCCAGAGTTGAAGTCAACTGTTTTGTGGGAATGGTCTGACACACGTCTGAGGTACGCGACTAGATGCGCAAGGATCTTGGGTTAGTTGCCGCAAGAGTGCAACTTCTTCAAATTAAAATTCTCTACAATTAGATTAATTGTCAGGCTGTCTGACCACAAGGAAGCGTCTTGGAGACTGACGCGCTAATGCCTCTAATTTCTTTGTTTTGAGACGCATGTGCGTACTTTAATGCAAGTGCACTTAATTCATTCTTCAGGTTAATGAAGACGTCAAGTTTTGTCAATTAGGGGGGGGGACGATTTTTACATTTTCAGCCCTTATTTATTTTTTTTATTGTTGAAAGAATCGATGTCTAATTACCTTTATACCCATGTCAAGCAAACTGTCACATAATTTAATCAGAAGATGAATGCTGAACTGATTCGGTATGATTCAGCCTTTAATTGAATTCTCTAAATTGAGCTTTCACGAAAGTCGATTAATTCAACTAAATTGCGGCATTTAATTGGTTCTATCCATGCCATAATTGCCAATCTATGAAATCGATATAAAAAACGGAAAATTATTAACGTGAGTTCATTTTAGGACTGCATAGTTATCATCACGGCTTTTATTAATTGACGAAATGGCGGCAAAAATCTTCGAAGACGTGTATCGAAAAAGATGCAATTTGTCTCACGAATTCAAATAATCTATGTTGAGGTATTTAATGGTACTATTGGGCTTTCTATGTTGGAAGTGAAGCCTGGCTTTTTAAGTTGTGTTGGTCATCAGCTCCAATAAGAGTTCATTTTTAAAGAATGAATTGCCAATTGACGTCCTATTTCAAGGCCAAATAGTTAATCAAATGAGCGGCTTTTGAAAATTGAACTTGTAAAAAGATATATATATATATATATGTAATGAGATCTAAGCTGAAATTTAATTAAAAAATTGGGTGCGATAGACTTACCTCCACGTGGTGCACCCTGGGCAACGTATAATCATACGGCAAAAATGTTTATTAACTGGCAGTTGACTTCTGACTTCATACTACCATCACCTCATTCTATGCCATAATCGACTATTTTCACAGTACTCACCTCACCTTTGTTCTACCTTTGTGTTTGTCTCTTACATCTTTGAAACACTCTTCTGTTCCCCCCTCTCGACTTTTTTCAATTTGATGTTCCTCCCTCTCTGTGAAGCCTGAAGTCAACTAAAGGGCTAATGATAACCATTTGTGTAAATAAATAATCAACAAATTGGTATTCACCTGAAGTTTCTTAAATTGGTCTTGACATGACTAAGTTGCTTGGATATCGAATTACAAGTCTTAACAATAGTTGTATGCATCTGAGTTTGCGTCTTCATGATGTGTGCTCTCAACTTTCGAATTCAAATTACAACTCCTCGATCTCACATATATATTTGTCAATATGTTTGGTTGAAGGCCGTATTAAGACTACGAATTGGGCAAAGGGTTACACAACTTTCACATTGCAGTAGATGGAAGATAAT